GTTTTTGTTTTTTGTTTGTTTTGGTTTGGTTTTTCGAGACAGGGTTTCTCTGTAGTTTTGGAGCCTGTCCTGGAACTAGCTCTTGTAGACCAGGCTGGCCTCAAACTCACAGAGATCTGCCTGCCTCTGCCTCCCGAGTGCTGGGATTAAAGGCCTATGCCACCACTGCCCGGCAACAATGTTTTTAACTTAAAAATGAGGAAAAAAGTGCCAACTCCAGGGCAATCAAGTTTTCACGACAAAAATCAGGTTTTGTACAACAAACCTTTCCCCCTTGAAGAATGTTCCCTGGGCTATATATGCGTTTGTTTACGGAAGCGCATTGTACCTGCATGATGGCTGCCCACTGAAGCAGCTGTGAGAGTGGGTGGAACAATGACAGGAGAAGAGGAAGAGTCTCCCAAAGAAGGAAGCAATACAAAGACTCGGAGGACAGTGGTAATGTAACCAAAACTCTAGACACAGCCTAGCTGTTTCCAGATCCCTGGAGGGCCTTGGGCCAAACACACCTGTACGTTTTTTCAGGACAAAGAGAGGTTCATTGTCTCCCTCCTTTCATAAATGTCCCTTCACGTCATTGCTGCTGTGTGAGTCCCACTGAGGAAGGGCTTTTTGCCTGAGGTCTCCCCGCTCACACTTGCCTGAGAGGCTGCAGCTCCATCGGGAGACCACTCCCCTCTAGGAAAGGCCGTGGGAATATTCAGCCAGGCAAGCCCAGGGCAGCCAGGTCCTGGCTGTTCCCCCAGCCCAGCTGTCTCCACAGCTTGAGATGCTGTCCCTTCCCTCCCCTGCACTAAACCAGTGAACGGAAGGGCAGCCCGACTGTAGATGAAACCAGACCCTCCTTGGGAGGCGCCTTCTCAGTTCCTGGCCTGGGCAGGGCAGGCCACGTGTTGTTATGGTTGAGTCGACCAGCTGGGAATCAACAGGGGGGTTGTAAGGAAACCACATTAATTAGGAGAAAGCAAACATGACTGTCACTGCTGGCAGTCCTTCCCCGGCCTTCTCTCCCAGCCCGCTCCCACCAGGGTATCAGTACCAGATCAGCTTCTGTCCTCCCGCCCTTTCCCTGTGCCTTCTATTTCCAGGGTCAGAGTTGTGTGACTATCGGCTCTGACCCCTCTTCTTGGGTGAGGTGGGAGGAAGGCCAGACTGGCTCATCCATCCATAGCTGGGACCAGAACTTCCTTCCCTGAGGCCACAGCTGACCGGCCCCTGGCTACCCATCTCCTACCTCTACTCAGGCCTGAGCCTGTGTTCTGCTGTTAGGCAGCAATCTGACCAGATCAGTTCTGTCATAAAGTGAAGTTTTCATTGGCAAAAGAACACGTCCGGGTTTGCTTGCCACGGGCGTGTCCCCAAACATCTTCCTTGGGAAGGTTTACTGGGGATTTAGATTACCTCCAGATCAAGGGAAGGGTTAAGACAGCATTCTGCTCTTGCGAGGGACCTGGGTTTGTTTCCCCAAATCCACACCAGGTGGTTCATAACTACCTGTACCTCCAGTGCCTGGGGATCCGACGTCCTTCTCTGGCCTCTCAAGCACCTGTGCTCATGTACACATACCCACACACGGATATAAACACATACACAGAATTCAAAAACAATTTTAAATCTTTAGATTATCTCCAGAATTAAGAGGCTGAGTATAGGACAAAATGTGGAAGGAAGAAGAAATGCCTCCACAGGGCAATGGGAGTGTAGTCAGTGTAAAGAGATCCGTCAACCTCTCTTTCCTCTCGTGTGTGTGTGTGTGTGTGTGTGTGTGTGTGTGTGTGTGTGTGTGTGTAGCGTCACTGATGCGCAGTGAGTCCTGGGTTGGCTGCGACAATTGAAAACAGTCACCCAGATGTGGTGACACACGATTGGCTAGTCAGGCCTATATAGTAAGACTTTATCTAAAAAGGAAGGAAGGGAGGAAGGGAGGAAGGGAGGAAGGGAGGAAGGGAGGAAGGGAGGAAGGGAGGAAGGGAGGAAGGAAGGAAGGAAGGAAGGAAGGAAGGAAGGAAGGAAGGAAGGAAGGAAGGAAGGAAGGAAGGAAAAGTAAAAAGAAAGAAAGAAGAAAAAACAGTTCCCCTGTATATGAGTTCCTTTGCCAACAGTCCTAGAAGCTCTGACTCTTGAAAAGAAGCATTCTTGGATTGGAGCTACCATTTTACAGCCTGTAGGAAAAAAAAAATCTTGATTCCACACTACAACTCTACAATACACCAAACATCCCCACATACCCAATTAAGAGAGGAGTATAGAAGATTCACTAGTAGGGTAGAAAATGCTATGTTTAGGGTAGGAAGAGACAGCTTAGAAATCGAGTTTGACTTAAATCAGACATGGTATCTTCTAATCCTAGAGGACAGTAGAATTACCACAGATTTGAGACTAGCATGGGCTAGCTAATGAATTTAAGGATAGTGTGGCCTAAATAACAAGAATGTGTACCCCTCCCATAAGGAAGTAAGATATAGGAAAGGGGGGGAGAAGTATTAAGAGTTAAAAGCTTCCAGCTACAGCCCGATCTACGTAGCAAGGTCCAAGGCAGCATGGACTCGAGTGAAACTCTGCCTCAATAAATAGACAAGAAAATGACAAAATTGAGATCAATGTAGCCAAATAGAGATTCCAGAAACTAGACTGGCTAAAGTGTAGTGAAGGAAGAGTCTGATCATCCTACCTCCAACTGTGACAGTATTTTTAATGGTATTAGGTCAGTAAGACACTACTATGGCAAAAATGAATATTTTTTAATGTTTTTTATTTATGATGATGAAGATGTGTGTGTTCATGTACACAAGCATGTGTCACATTAAGTGTGGAGGTCAGAGGACACCTTTTAAAAGCTGGTTCTTTCCTTCTACCTTCACGTGGCTTCCAGGGATCGAACTCAGGCTATTAGGCTCACAAGGTTTTGTAATGTACAATCTAGTTGTCAACCTGAGAAGAAAACAAGACAATAAGTAGCATTCCCCCATGGTCTCTCCTTCCGTTCCTGCCTTGACTTCCCTCTGTAACCTGTAAACCAAATCAACCCTGTCTGCCTCAAGTTGCTTTCGGTCACGGTGGTTATCACAGCAACAGAAAACTAACTAGGGCAGGTGACAAATACTTTTATCCATTAAACCACCTTGGTGGCTCAGAAAATGAATCTCAGACCACATGGCAAAACAATTCCAGAAAAACTGAATATCTGATTATAAAGTCTTTGCGAGAAAACATAGAAGAGCCAGGCAGTGGTGGCACCCGTCTTTAGTCCCAGCACTTGCAATGCAAGAAGCAGGTGGATCTCTGTGAGTTCAAGGCTAGCCTGCTCTTCAGAGCAAGTTCCAGACAGCCAGAGAAACCCTGTCTCAAAAAACAGGAAGAAAGAAAGAAAGAAAGAAAGAAAGAAAGAAAGAAAGAAAGAAAGAAAAAATTAGAAAGCATAGGAGAATATTTTCACAAATATTTAAAGAGAGTGAAAGTAATACAAAATGAAAATAGTTAACCATAACAGAAGAAAAACTGATGAATTTTTAAAAATTAAATTAATATTTGTTTAAAAATTGTACTTCAGGGAGGAAGAAGGTAATACTTGAAGAACTGTATGGCATCTGCGATACATGTAGTCAACAAACACAAGTATGAAAATATAGAATGAACAAGTTAATAAGAAAAAACAGATCAGGGGGCTGGAGAGATGGCTCTGTGGTTAAAAGCACTTTCTGCTCTTACAGACAACTACAGTTTAGTTCTTAGCAACCACGTGGTAACTCACAGCCATTTCTAACTCCAGTTCCAGGGGATCAGATACCTTTGTCTGGCTTAAGAACTAGGCACACACATGGTGCACATACATATGTGTGGGCAAAACACTCGTGCACATAAAATGAAAGTAAAATGATGTGGGAAGGTGTCTATCTGTTGCTTTTATTGGTTAATTAATAAAGAAACTGCTTGGCCTGATAGGTCAGAACATAGGTGAGTGGAGTAGACAGAACAGAATGCTGGGAAGAAGGGAAGTGAGGGCAGACACAATGGAGCCAGCCACCAGGTCAGACGCGATGGAGACAGCCACCAGGTCAGACATGCTGAATCTTTCCCGGTAAGCCACCACCTTGTGGTGCTACATACATTAATAGAAATGTGTTAATCAAGAGAGTTAGCTGGGCGGTGGTGGCGCACGCCTTTAATCCCAGCACTCAGGAGGCAGAAGCAGGCAGATCTCTGTGAGTTCGAGGCCAGCTGGTCTAAAAGAGCTAGTTCCAGGACAGGAACCAAAAAGCTAAGGAGAAACCCTGTCTCGAAAATCAAATAAATAAATAGATAGATAGATAGATAGATAGATAGATAGATAGATAGATATGAGAGTTAGCCAAGAAGAGGCTAGAACTAACAGGCCAGGCAGTGTTTAAATGAATACAATTTGTGTGTTGTTATTTCCGGGGCTAAGCTAGCCGTGTGGGAGCTGGGCAGGATAAAAAGCAGGCCTGCTCGCCTCATCACTACAGTAAAATTTAAATATATGTATTTAATATAAATATATCAAGAAAAAAGAGACAGATAAATATAAAATGAGCATAAATCCTGAACAGATTTATTACAAAATAGAATCTATAAATGGTTTATAATACCCGAAAAGCTATTGTCATTAGGCATCAAATGTAAAATAAATCTTCAATGAGCTCTTATTATATACTAACTAGAATGACAGATGAAAACTACAAAAAATTTTTTCAAATATGACAAGGTTTTGGAACACCTGGAATTTCCACATATAGCTGGTACCAAAATAAAGTGGTACAAGTGCCATGGGAAGCATCTGGGCGTGTTCTACTAAAGCTGAGCATGTGTAGACCCTCACAGTTTCATCACTCAAATATTCCAGAAAGTTTTTTCTCAAGTTTGCCCAAAGTCATGTTAGTCCCAGCACTATTTGCAACATTTCATATTGAAAGGATCCAAACTCTATCAACAGAATAAAGGAGTTTTAAAATAAGATGCAATCTAAGAAAATATTATATAAAGTTTAAATCAGCAAAATGTTATTTGTGGTGCCAAAAGTTGAGATAATGGTTATCCTTAGAGGGAATGACTGGAAGGGGATACAAGACAATGTTCTGGATTATTGATCATGTTCTACTTGTTCTATGGAAGAGAATACAAGACAGTGTTCTAGAGTGTTGATCATGTTCTACTATTCTATGGAAGGAAACACAAAATGGTGTTCTAGACTGTTGATAATGTTCTACTTGTTCTATGGAAGAGAATACAAGACAGTGTTCTAGAGTATTGATCGTTTCTACTTATTCTATGGAAAGGAATACAAGACAGTGTTCTAGAATGTTGATCACATTCTACTTATTTTATGGAAATTCATCAAGCTGTATACTGAAGATCTGTATGTTTTACTTACCTGTTTTTTCTAATTTATTTAAAAAAGAGGGATGGGCCAGAGTCAAAGACTGCTGAGGGTCTGGATGTGAATCCGGGACTGTGAGTGAATCTGGGTCCTCCAAGGGAATAGGCAGGAACCAGAGATCTCAGCGAAGCCAGGCACAAGTCTGGAACCTCAGAGAGAGTAGGCCTGAGCCGGGTCCTCTGTGAGTTCAGGCATTGGTCTGAGACATCAAAGGGAATAGGCAGGAACCTGGAACTCTTGCAGGTCCAAGCCCGAGTCTGAGACCTCTGAGGAAGTAAGCAGGTCCTCTGCAGATTCGGGCACACCTGAGCCTGGGATCTCCAAGGCAGTAGACCAGAACTAAAAACCTTTCCAGGTCCAACTCCAACCCAGGGACTTCTGCAGGTGGGAATCCAGGCCAAAATTTACAGATACAGGTTAAAGCCGGTAACCTAAGCCAAAGTTTCCCAGAGGCAAGGAACTCCACCTTGGGCAACAAATTCCACAGGAGTGGAACAGAAAGAGACTCCTAGGACAGAGAGGGCCAGGGGAAACAAGCTCCACTGGGAGCAGAAAAGCCAGGAGCAAATCCGGCCCTAGCAGCCAACCCAGTCCTGGGACACTGGCAGACCAGGATTGAGCCAATGACCTGAATCAGAGTCTGCAATCTCCACCAGAACTGGAGTGGGACTGAACCAGTGACCTAAGACATAAAGAGAACAAGCTCTACCAGGAGAAGAAGCCAGGACCAAACCCAGTCCCAGGACACGGGCAGATCAGGACTGAGCAGCCAGTGAACCCAGATCCAGAGTCAGCGATCTCCACCACAACAGGTCCAACTCCAAGCCAGGGACTTTTCCCAGACCAAAATTTACAGAAACAGATCAAAGCCAGCAGCCTAGGCAAAAGTAGGCCTAAGACAGCAAACTCCAAAGGAGTAAACCAAAGCACAGGAACACTGAGCTACCTCCAGGAACAGGAATAACCAACGGAGTAACTAGAACTGTGACACTGACTGTACCACGAGGAACAACCATCTGAGCTTTGGATTGACTGGCACCTAGAAGATTATTCAACAGAATCTCAGACAGCCCCAACCACACCTATTAGAGGAAAAGATGAATAGAAAAGGTAAGATGACATGCTACACCACAAAGAGCAACACAACACCAGTAAAACCTAAAGACCCTACGAAACCAAGACCTGAACAACCAAATATGGATGAACCAGAAGAAAATGATCTAAAAAATAACCTCAAGCGAATGTTTGAAATTCTTAAAGATGAAATGAGAAATTACCTTAAAGAAATGGAGGAAAAAAGAAACAAAAAATTGGAAGATATCAGCAAATCACTTAAAGAAAACCAAGAAAAAAAACCTCAAACATATAAAAGAAACTATTCAGGTCTTGAAAACTGATATAGAAAAAATAAAGAAAACACAAGCCAAAGGAATTATAGAAACAGAAGTCAAAGAAAAAGATCAGGAACCACAAACGTAAGCATGAACAACAGAATACAAGAAATGGAAGAGAGAATCTCAAGCACTGAAGATACAATAGAGGAAATAGGCTCATCAGTTAAAGAAAGCATTAAATCTAACAAAAGCTTAACCCAAAATATCCAGGAAATATGTGACACCATTAAAAGGCCAAATCTTAGAATAATTAGGTATAGAAGAAGAAGTTCAACTCAAAGGCACAGAAAATTTATTTAACAAAATTATAGAAGAAAACTCTCTCTACCTAAAGAAAGATATGCCTATGAAGATACAAGAAGCTTACAGAGCACCAAATAGACTGGACCCCCCAAAAAAAAGTCCTCTCACCACATAATAATCAAGACACTAAACATACAGAGAAAAGAAAGAATATTAAGAGCTGCAAAGGAAAAAGGCCAAGTAACATATAAAAATAGGCCTATCAGAATTACACCTGACTTCTCAGTGGAGACAATGAAAGCCAGAGGTCATGGTCAAGCACTATGCAGACATTAAGAGACCATGGATGCCAGCTCAGACTACTATACCCAGCAAAACTGTCGATCACCATAGAAGGACAAAACAAGATATTCCATAACAAATCTAGATTTCACCAATACCTAGCCACAAACCCAGTCCTACACAAAATACTAGAAGGAAAACTCCAACCCAAGGAAGATGGCTACACCAACAAAAACACAGACAATTGATGATCTTATTACAGCAAATCCTGAAGAAGAAAAAAAATGCACAAATTAACATCATCAATGATGAAAACTAAATTAACAGGAGATAGCAACCACTGGTCATTAATATCCCTTAATGTAACTGGACTCAACTCACCTATAAAAAGGCACAGGCTGACAGATTGGATACGAAAACAGAATCCATCCCTCTGCTCCATACAAGAAACGCATCTCAACCTCAAAGACAGACATTATCTCAGAGTAAAAGGTTGGGAAAAAAATATACCAATCAAATGGACCTAAGAAATAAGCAGGTGTAGCTATCCTAATATCTAACAAAATAGACTTCAAGCTAAAATCAGTCAAAAGAGACAAAGAAGGACATTTCATATTAGTTACAGGAAAAATCCATCAAAAGGAAATTTCAATACTGAACATCTATGCCCCAAATACAAGGGTACTACCCTCATATGTCAAAGAAACACTTATAAAGCTTAAATCATATATTAAACCCCACACACTAATAGTAGGAGACTTCAAAACTCCCCTCTCACAACTGGACAGGTCAATCAGATGAAAAATGAACAGAGAAATAAGAGAACTAACAGGAGGACCAGTGGAACCGAATAGAGACCCGGATATCAATCCACACATCTTCGAACACCTGATTTTTGACAAAGAAGCAAAAAATATCAAATGGAAAAGAGAAAGCATATTTAACAAGTGGTGCTGGCATAACTGGATTTCAACATCTAGAAAAACGAAAATAGACCCATATCTATCACCATTCACAAAACTCAAGTCCAAATGGATCAAAGACCTCAACATAAAGCCAGTCATACTGAACCTTACAGAAGAGAAAGTGGGAAATACACTTGAACACATTGGCACATGAGACCACTTCTTAAATAGAACCCCATCAGCACAGACACTGAGAGAAACAATTAAAAATGGGACCTCCGGAAACTGAAAAGCTTCTGTAAAGCAAGGACACGGTCAACAAGACAAAACAACAGCCTACAGAATGGGAAAAGATCTTCACTACTAACCCCACATCAGACAGGGTCTGATTTCCAAAATATACAAAGAACTCAAGAAATTGGACACCTTTCAAAAGAACACATAATCCAATTTAAAAAACAAAATGGAGTACAGACCTAAACAGAGAACTCTCAACAGAGGAATCTAAAATGGCTGAAAGACACTTAAGGAAATGTTCAACATCCTTAGTCATCAGAGAAATGCAAATCAAAACAACTCTGAGATTCCATCTTACACCTGTAAGAATGGCCAAGATCAAAAACACCAATGACAACTTATGCTGGAGACGTTGTGGGGAAAAGGGAACACTTCTGCATTGCTGGTGGGAATGCAAGCTGGAACAACCCCTTTGGATGTCAGTGTGGTGATTTCTCAGAAAATTAAAAAACAACCTTCCTCAAGACCCAGTAACACCACTTTTGGATATATATCCAAAGGATGCTCAAAGGTGCCACAAGGACATGTGCTCAACTATGTTCATAACAGCTTTGTTTGTCATAGCCAGAACCTGGAAACAACCTAAATGCCCCTCGACCAAGGAATGGATAAGGAAAATGTAGTACATTTACACAATGGAGTACTACACAGCAAAAAAAAAAAAAATGACAGCTTGAATTTAGCAGGCAAATGGATGGATCTAGAAAACATTATTTTGAGTGAGGTAACCCAGACACAGAAAGACAATTATCACATGTACTCACTCATAGGTGGTTTTTAAACATAAAGCAAAGAAAGCCAGCTTACAAACCACAATCCCAGAGAACCTAGACAACAATGAGGACACTAAGAGAGACTTACATAGATATAATGTACATGGGGAGTATAAAAAGACAAGATCTCCTGAGTAAATTGGGAGCATGGGGACCTTGGGAGAGGGTTGAAGTGGGGAGGGGAGAGGCAAGGAGGGGAGCAGAGAAAAATGTAGAGTTCAGTAAGTATCAATAAAATAAAATTAAAAATAAAAAAGATTTTAAGAGGTTCTGTTTGCTACTTCAAAAAACAGAGGGATGAGCTAAATGGTGGAAGTGGCACACATGGGAGGCAGAGGCAGGCAGATCTCTGGGTCAGCTTCATGTAGAATGGGTTCCAGGACAGCTAGGGCTACACAAAGAAATCATGTCAGAAACAAAACAAAAAGCAAAACTAAATATATATATATATATATATGAAAAAATATGCATTTAAACAATGCGTCTGTTTTTAAATAGACTGTGACTAGGAAATCTGCTCTCTGTCTTCAGCATGTGGGGACCTAGAAATCTGCCCATAGACAAAAGAGGGTAAAGAGTCAATATAAGCCTTTTTAATTTTAGGGTTGGGGTTAGGGTTAGGGTTTGTTAATTTCGCCTATGTTACTTGTAAATTGTTTATTACAGACTTGACATACTGACTGCTTTCAGATTTCATCTGTTGGTTGAGTGTGTGGAATGAAAATACAGAGATTTTTTAAGATTTTAAGAGGTTCTGTTAAATAATTTTAGGAAACTTTCTAAAGCGAGTTGTTTACTCTTGGCATGGCAGTCACTAACTCAGATAGTAACTCGGGATGTTCTAGAGTGTTCTAGAGACATGTCTATGGAGGAGAAATCAAGGCAGTCACTCAGGTAGTAACTCGGGATGTTCTAGAGTGTTCCAGAGACATGCAAGAAATCAAGGCAGTAGCTATTTCTGGGAGTATACTTTTTAAATTGGAAATAATTTCTTTTCTTTTTTGTTTTTTTTGTTTTGTTTTGTTTTGTTTTGTTTTTAGAGACAAGGTTTCTGTGTAGCTTTGGAGCCTGTCCTAAAACTAGTTCTTGTAGACTAGGCTGGCCTCGAACTCGCAGAGATCTGCCTGTCTCTGCCTCCCAGTGCTGGGATTAAAGGCATGCGCCACCACTGCCCAGAGGAAATAATTTCTTTCTGGGAAATACAACCTAGAAATAAATTGTCTCTTTACACAGTCTGACAATATAAAATATACTTACATATAATCTTGGAATATAGGTATTATAATTTGATTTTAGCAAAAATATATATTGTTATGTTTTTAAATGCTAGATATGGTCACTTAAAGGAAATAATCCCAATTTAAAAAAATTTTATCTCAACAAATTGTTTCTAACTAGAAATCTAGTTTTCCTTGGGATACTCTGTTTTTGCTCATGAAATAATAGCTGGTGTTGTTAATATTTGAAACAAGTACATAAAGTTTATCAGATGTGAAAGCAAGGAGCAGGACTGAGCCACATTCTGTCAGGTTTGTCCTTAGACGCTGACGTTAGCTGACTTCTTTACATGTTTCAGGAGCTCGTTCTGCATGCAGGAGTCTGACGTAACGAACAGCTAACTACAGCCACCTTACCCTTCTGTAGAACACGGTCCTGCCAGGTGTCCAGTTACACTGTGCTCCTGTGAGTGTTCTCCGTGTGAGTTTTCCTCTTCGTCTCTTAACTGTCCACACTAAGCTGTAGTCATTCCCTCCTGGCTTCTGTCCTGGATCTTTGACAACTATTCGGTTTTATCACGGCCCCTAGGACGGCCCCTCCTCTGAGGCACTCCAACTGCTGGTCCCCTCATTACCCTCTGTCAGCCTCAAAACAGTCACCGAGAGGCCAACGTCCCTAAGCCCCTAAAAGCATTCGGTGGCCTCTGACGGGGCTAATGGTCAGGGGCCACCTAACTCATCCGTCTTCTTGCCATTCTGAACATCGTTTCAGGGACGCAGAACTGAAACAGCTGGACTGGAGCCTCCTTTGCATCAACGCAGCTCTCTGCTCACGGGCTCAGATGAGCCTGACATCCTTCAGAACCAGCTGGACCCCATGACGGCCGCAGCACTGCCCTCCTTCCTCCTCATTCTCCTTATTCGTTTATGCCCCATTTAAAAATGTTTCACTTATAGAACTTCTAAGCTCTCCCAATGCTCTCACCTACAAAAGCTCCATGTCTTCTCAATACATCTGCAGAAAGGCCTTTTCGAGGCTGTGGAGAAACGGGCTAAAGGGACTTCATTCCTCTCCCCCTGAGCCGGATACAGTCTTTCTATTAGTCCTCTACTGTCTCCTGTCTCCTTCCTTTCACGCTCTGTAGCTCCCGTTAACTTCGGCTAGCTCGTTTTGGTCCGACAGGCCAGGCAATGGACTAGTCACTGTCACCCTGAATCAACTCTGTGTCAATATCCTATCGCCTCTGTTCCTCCCCATCCCTTAACCTTCTGGGAAATCTCTTGGTTTTTCTCTGAAACCAAACCAGCTGCTTACAGCCCTCTAATAATTATTTTCCAGATCTCCCAGGAATATAAGATGGCAATCACCTGATCCATCAAAGCCGATCAAGTTAAGACCCCCCCCTTCAATGGACCCAGGACTACCCCCTCTAACAAAAACCCCCATCAGCAGAAACAGCTATAATGTCCCTGCCCTGTGTTTTTTATAGCCTCTCAGAGTTAGGAGTAATAGCTTCCTGCTGAAAGACTGCACTTCCCAGCTTCCCTTTTGTACTGTGGAAGTCATTTCCATCCCTATAAGGGGCTGCATCCCAGCTTCCTCTGTAGGCCTTTTGCCCATCCACACATATGAATAACAAAGTGCTCCCTCGGGCTGGAGAGATAGCTCAGAGGGTAAGAGCACTAGCTGCTCTTCCAGAGTTCCTGAGTTCAATTCCTAGCAACCACATGGTGGCTCACAGCCATCTATAATGAGACCTGGTGCCTTCCTTGCCAGCAGTACATTATATGCTTAATAAATAAATCTTAAAAAAAATTTTAAAAAAAGTGCTCCCTCACCAGGAATAAACATGGTTCACCTATGATCAGAGCAAGCCTTCCTTTCTTTCTACATTCTGTCTCTCTCCAGCTGCCTTTTAATAATCTAACAATGACAACACCCACATAAGGTAGAGGAGAATCTGTATAGACAGAGCAATAGTAAACAGGCTGACATAAGACACCTCTGCCAGGGCCTGGTGGTCAGCCTTGGATTCGTCACCTCCCTGAAGGCTGCTTGGATCTAATTAGTAAAGGTCCCAGGAGTGAAGCGGCCAGCAGCTGGAGGGGCTCCAGTGGCGGCAGCAAACAGCAGCACAGCTTGCTGGCCAGTGTTCCTGGAGGAGATGATGCTGACATAAACAACAATGCTGAGGAGCCAGCAGCAGCGTTTCCCAGGTCCTGCTCAGGCTTAGGATACAGATCCATCATTGCTCCTTTCGTGGGAGTGCTGTTCTATCCAAACTCAAACTTGGTGCTTAACCAGTTCCTGCTGCATCCTCTTCCACGTGCAGGGTATCGAGGGCTCCAGATACTGGGAGAAGTTTCCCTTTAAGTTACAACAGGAATTAAGAATGACACACAGGGTCCCCTCCCTGGGCAGAACAGAAAGGGATTGTTTCTACTTTATGAGTATGACTGCTTGCACGTAAGAATGTGCACCACACTTATGACAAAAAGTCATCAGCTGCCAGGCGGTGGTGGCACACACCTTTAATCCCAGCACTTGGGAGGCAGGGGCAGGCGGATCTCTGTGAGTTCAAGACCAGCCTGATCTACAAGAGCTAATTCAGGACAGGCTCCAAAGCCACAGAGAAACCCTGTCTCAAAAAACCAAAAAAAAAAAAAAAATCAGCTGTCCTGGGACTAGAGTCACAGAAGGATAGGAGCTGCCATAATGGGTGCTGAGACCCAAACCCTGATCCTCTAAAGGAGAAGCCAGGAATCTTAACCATGGTCCATCTGTCCAGCACCCCAAAATATGCTGATTACAGTAAGTTAGAAAACATACGTGGAAAGGGCTGGCACCCAAATGCTTTAGTTCACTATGTCCACAGGTGTCAGATGGGGTTCTGCTACTGCCCTGGTCTCTGCTCAGCACCGAAAAGTTGGACATGAATCAGAAAACAAGAAATGTGGCTAGAAACAGATGTGGCTCATTTACGCAGGAGAAAGTCGGAAGCTAGAGTGAGTCAAGGCTATCCTGATCTTGCTTGACTGGGACACCTAGAAGTGCACCCACAGAAACCCGCTTCCAATCCATGTGTCAATCAATCCCACCTTAACTGACATTTCAGATTGCTTCCCTGCATCTGCCATTGCTCAATGTAATATTTCTCCTGTTCTTCCTATCTATAACGATTGCTTGGTCGAAAGCATCACCCCAGCTCCCTAACACCCCTTTATACAAGAGTCTGGAATATGATAGTCAGGGGTCTCACCCTAGCCCCTGACACCCATTTTGGAATATTGGGCAAAAAGTTCCATTTCAAGCTCCCTCCCCTGGGAGTTGCCTTAGTCCAAACTCCACCTCTGAGAAAGCCTGCCCACCAAATGGTAACCCCTCCCCAGAAAAGGTCAAGCTAACTCCCACAGGCTACTTAAACTGCCCCCCAGAGAATGAACACATAGTCTCTGGGTTTCGTGTGGTCTCCCCTTCTCTCTCTCCCCCTTGCCATGCTTTCCCAGAACCTCCCAGGAGCGATGCATCAAACATGGGCAACTTTTATTCGGTCTAATTTGGTCTGAATGGAATCATTTGTGTCGGCTGAGAGGCTCATCTAAGAAATACTCCTAACAGCTATGCACCAAAGCTCCTCGAGCAGCTTTGGTTGTCTCCACATAGCCCAGCAGGATGCCAGGAGCAACTAAACCAACAGGCCCTTTCTCTCCCTATCATCAGAGAACTTACTGTGTCTTTCAGTAGACCTAGTTTCTCTCACCAGAGTACCAGAATAAGATAACTAGCAACACCCTTACCCTTTCGAGGCTTACACAGGATAAAGAGTTGAGGGGAGGAACCTTACCATCAAAAGGAAGACTTGAGGTGTCAATAATTTTCCTTTCTTAGGTAGCTCAGGGGAAACATCCTGAAAATCTGAAAGTGGGAAAATCAGACAATTTTATTTTTTTGGTATTTTAACTTTTTTTTAAAGATTTATTTATTGCCGGGCGGTGGTGGCGCACGCCTTTAATCCCAGCACTCGGGAGGCAGAGAAACCCTGTCTCGAAAAAAAAAAAAAAAAAAAAAAAAAAAAAAAAAAAAAAAAAAAAAAAAAAAAAAAAGATTTATTTATTATGTATACAGTGTTCTGGGCACCAGATCTTATTATAAATGGGTGTGAGCCATCATGTAGTTGCTGGGAATTGAACTCAGGACCCCAGAAGAGCAGTCAGTGCTCTTAACCTTTGAGCCATCTCTCCAGCCCATTTTAACTTTTTTGATAAAGCAAATATGCCGAGCTTGTGAAAAGATCCATCTCCCTATTTGTCCTATTAAGTAGTTTATATTCATTGAGCATGAATGATTTATTTCATATAATCTTTGCAACAAGCTATTTTATAAAACAGATTCTACTTATCCACTGATAAGTATACATTGAACCATTATTACGTGTTTCGACACCAAGCACTGTGCTAGGAGATGTAGGCTTGAGAGGCAACAAAAATTGCAATTGCAATGTTTCTGTCTTTTTGTTTTGTTTTGTATCAAGACAGGGTCTCACCGTGTAATTCTGTCCTGGAATCCACTTATGTAGACCAGGTTGGCCTCGAACTCACAAAGATCCACCTACCTCAGCCTCCCTAGTACTGGGATTAAAGGCCTGCGTCATCACGCCTGGCAACAATGTTTGACTTAATTTACAATCCTGTGGGGAGACTGCAACTGTGTGGAACCCTAAAACAGATGTTGCCGAGAACCAGCATGGCGAATGAAGTTTGAAGTAAACTCTAACAAAGCATTTACCAGGTAGCCAAAGAATAGGCAGAGGATAGGTGGCGCCAAGTGCTGGACAGGAGATGTATATAAGCAACAAAGATTGGCAGATGGGAGGGAAGGTCGTCAATTCTGTTCCAGGTCTGTCGCTCCCAGAGCCAGAGTTCATTACCATTTCATTCTGTCCCTCACAAAAGCTTAAAATCCACATGCAGGAAGGAAAAAAAAAAAAAAAAAAAACTAAAGAATCGGTGTGGTGTGTAATTTACTAAGGGAGACTAACGGGCAGCTTTGAAGACTAGGTTCTGGCATATAGCAGCTGGAGGATCTGCTCCGCACAGAGCCGCGTGCGTCTCCTTACCAAATCCCGACTGGTGATAGAAACAGAAACCACGAGAAACCCGCTCGCCGACGGCGGCGGCGGCGGCGTGCTCTCCGCTCCGGAAGCGGAAGTGCACGCGAGGTCAGGCGTGTTTCCAAGATGGCGGCCCTCAGGGCTCTGGTATCCGGGTGCGGAAGGCAGCTCCACGGGTTCCTAGGAGGCCCCGCCAAGACCGGCTGCCTGTGGCTTCCAGCTCGCGGGTTGAGAGAAGGTGAGTCTCAGGACCCAGCGACCTCTAGAACTCGAGAACAGCCACGTAACAGACTTGCGTCAACCCCGGCGTGGCACTCCCTCTCTGCACGGCTCTCAAACCTCGGGGGTGCTGGGCTCCACAGGACGCTTAAAAGCTCTTCCAGACCCTGGGGCTGTTGCTCCACCTCCCGGTTTTAGTGCCTTCCGGGAGTAAATGAAGACTGAGAGATTTAGATCTCAAAGATTTAGAGATCAAAGACAAGATTGTCTGAGAGTTCAGAAAAGCTATAAAGGGCCGACTGCTAATTCTCTCATAATTTCCAAATCTCCCTCTTCTTAAACCGTATCCCCAAAGCCTCCCTTTTCAATTTCCCTTCCGAAAACGATATTAGGTGGTGGCTGTTTTTGTCTAGGCTACTAATCTTGAGAGATGGCAGCCAAGGTGCAAAGGCTATTGAGCAACTACGACAGAAGCAAGTGCTAAATTTTAGTTCTGCATTTCATTAATATTAAACCCGGGAAAGTAACCCGAGTTACTTTTTCATCGGCGGAAAGGGTACTGAAGTCCCAGTGCTGTGAGTCAGGCTGTGAAAGGAGAAGAAAGCACAGCCTTTCTGTGAAGCTTACGTTCTGATGAGATATGTCTACGTCCCCCATAATGAGAGTCATTCCTGGGCATGAAAGAGCCCAGGAAGATTCTGTTGCCGGAAATAGCAAAGGCAGTTGGAAGTTTTCATAAAGAGGATGCTCCCTGAACAGGCTCCTGAAGGGCTGGAATCTGGCGGAGTGAAAAGGTCTTTCGGGATAGTCTTCTTTTGTTGTTCTGTGGGAAGCAGGAATGGATTAGTGTTGAGCTAAAAGAAATGATGGACAAGGGGCTTGTTTTTAAAATTCTAGCGCAGTGTTGGCCAACCAGTGAATATCTGTCAGAGTGGAGAAGTAACCAATTGGAAAAAAAAGAGCCACTGAGTCAAAGAAGAGGCCTCAGCCTCCCAGTCATGTGGCTAACAGGCATAAACCAGTATGCACAACTTAGAGGAGGTCTCTTTCGTTTCCAACAGTAATTTTATTAAGAGTGGCAGATAAGGGCCTAGTGGTGCACGTCTTTAATCCCAGTTCTTGGGAGACAGAGGCAGGAGGATCTCTGAGTTCCAGGGCAGCCAGGGCTACACACCGAAAAGTCCTTTCTCAACCAAGAAACAAACAAAAGAAAATTATTTTTATTTTTGAGACAGAGTCTCACTATATTGCATTGGCTAACCTGGAACTCATTATGTAGACCAGGCTGCCCTTAAACTCATGGAGATCCACCCACCTCTGGCTCTTTCTTGTGTGTGGTTTAGAGGCGTGTGCCACCATCCACGGCTTTGACTAGTTCTTTACTGTGTTGTGTTTTTTTTTTTTGTATTTTGGGTTTTTCTTTTTACTAGTTATGTAGTTTTATCTTTGAAAAGATAGAGAAGAAATAAATAAAAAGGGTTTCTTGTATGATTCGTAGTTTCTATGATATGTAGTTTCTTTCCTTTTTTTGATATGTAGTTTCTTGTATGATTAGTTGATTTAAAACTAAGAGTATTTGAGATTTCACATAAGAAACTTGTTCTTTCAGACAGTTTTGCATTGGGTGGCTTTAACTTTCTAGGTAGAGCAAGCTGGCCTCCAGCATCTGGCAGTCTGCCTGCCTCTGCCTCCCACGTGCTGGTATCACTGTCATGTACTACCACATCCAGCAAGAGATTTTTTTTTCTTTAACTGGAGAGTTTGTGGAATGGTGAACTATATAATCAGTGTTTGGAGTCGTTGCTACAAATGCTTGGTTGGTAACTCTTCTGTCTGTGAGCCACTGTGTAGACAGCCTGGTCTCGAGGCTGAATGTTAAGTTGAATTGATGTGCTTTTACGTGAAAGCCCTGTCATGTTTTATTTCCTTTTGAATCATCCACCATTCTTCCCTTTGGTAAGCCATATACAGCTGACTGTCATTGAACTAGCTAGTATACTTGTCACTCAAATATGTGCATGTAAAATTTAAAGTTGTGACAGACAAGCTGATTCTCTGAAAATATTCAGTCATCTTGCTTTTCAAAGATAAACTATATAACTGAAGCAAGAATTCATGAGGCTTGGACTCAAGAAGAAAAGAATCTTCGTGAGGACTGAGCAGTGGTGTCATTGCTATGAGTTTTCAGTCTAATGCATTGTTCCTCAGTCAGTGGTGATCATCCGCTCCCTTTCTCCCACCCCAGTGTCCAGACATTTCTGGCAATGCCTAGAAACCTTTTTGGTTGTCACAGATGGTAGTTCCAGCATCTGGTGAGTGGGTAGGGATACCCTTAAATGTCTTACAACACAACACGTCAACTCCACAACAGAAAGCCAACTGGCCCAAAATGTCAGTAGTGCTGATGCTGAGACAGCCTGGTCTGAAGTTTGGCACGAGGGCCAAGATGGACACCTTTAATCCTGGCAGAGGCAGGTGGGTCTCTGAATTCTAAGGTCAGTCTGGTCTACTTATAAAGTTCCAGGACAGCTAGAACTACTTAATGAAGCCCTGCCTCTGAGGGTGTGTGTGTGTGTGTGTGTGTGTGTGTGGTGTGTGGTTGACAAGCCCAAAGTGAGAGAGTGGGTTATAAAAAAAGCAAAAAGCATAATTTAAGGGGACAAATGAGGAAACTGGTTTACTAAGTGCCTTCTTCCAGACGTATACTAGGTGTTCCTTAAAACATCTACTCAGTCTTCCTTAAAAGTAGATGTTAGCGGTCTTTACTTTGATGAATGGGGGATCCAGTTCTAAAGATTCCTTAGCTTACCTAACAGCAGCTCATGGCAGCAGGGTTGAAAGCAGGGGCAGCACTCTCCCCTCTCCAGTGTAGCACAGCCCTGGTGCTCCTCGGCAGGTCCTCTTTTTTTTTTCCTCCTTTCATGAAAGTCTCTTGCCAGTTGACTTGCCAAAGAACGTCTAATGAATTCATCAATGACAATGTCAGATTTGGCAAGGATCGTGTTAAAAGCGTCCTGCCTTAACACCGTGTGAAGGAAATAACAGCATGATAAGAAACAGTGAGCAGCGAGTTACCAGCTATGACCTTACAGCATAGAACACACTGAAACGCTGAAAGGCCACTTCAGCCAGCTAAGAAGGGCCATCTGATATGCTGAGTAATCCCACAGCAAGGAGCTTTGAGAGGAGGGAACAAGTGGGTGTTCAGCGCCCTGCCAATGGGGAAGTCCTAGGCAGCAGTGAGACTGAAGCCCAAGGCAAGAGGGGCATTTCATCAGGAATTCCAGGACAGGAACCGGGGAGGCAACCAGAGACCCATAAACTGAGGATGCAAGGTGAACTGAAGGAGATGGCACTTGAGAAACAGGCAGTGCCCTGAGGCACAGGCCCTCATTGTGACTGCTGAGACAGGGGGCTGCCTTCCAGCCCTCCCGCATATGCTGCCTAGAGCTCAGTTTCCACAGATCCTGGAGGCCTTGGCTTCTTGGGCCAGGCACTGCTGCAGTGCCCCTCCTCCTCCATCATTCATCTCCCTCCCTCTTCCTCTACTAAACAGCCAAGCCTTTATGCACCAGGGTAACTGTGTCTCCCTGTGTTTATGTGTCCATCAAGGGCTTCTGTGGCCATTGCAGTCTCACCACATCGCTGCTTGCTCCAGGCTGTTATAACCCCGGTCATCTTGGACTCCATCCTAGGAATATTTACTGAAGTACTCGGAGGACCTCTTTATGAGACACGGGCTTTATTATGGTGATGGTGACATTCCCATCCTTGCTCTACTTCCTCCTCCAGGGCAAAGACTGTGCCTTACTCTTCTGCTGTTCCTCTGCCCAGGAGGTAGAGCCTGGCTGCCGCCCCTTCCTGATTCTCAGTGCACGTGCTGCCTCGCTTGAGAGGCGGCAGCCTTCCTTCTGCTCAGAAAACAACGTCATGTCTGGTGGCCTACTTCATGCTGGCCTAGCTCAGGATGCAGGAGTGGTTGCATTTTTTTTTCCTAGTTTTCTTTTGGTCTCTGAACCTTAGTCCAGCTTCTCTTGCCCACCACCACTTCTCTTAAATGGAGAGGAGACCAGGGACAACTGGATCTCAGGTTTTGTTTGGTTTTGCCATGTTTTTCTATGTACACTGAAAATCAATACTATTTTTGATTCCTATCTCCTCTTTGTAGAAGCTTAAAATCTGCTGAAGGGGGCCTCTGCAGGCCCCAGTCAGCCGCCTTCCCCTGCACTAACTCACCACCCTGATCAATCTATGCCTCCTGTGAGTTCCTTGGGTCATTCCTTTGGTTTGACAGTTCGGCTCTCATAGATAAGCATCTCCTATTGTTTTACCCACTGGCTTCTAGAAAGACACTGGCTGGCTCGAGGTTGCTGTGGGAGAGCTCATGAACAGTGGAGCTTGCCATGGGCTTTGATCTCTTTTCCAGGGGCCAGTGGGATGACTTCAGGCTTTGGGTCTTTGCCGAGAGTGATGTGTGTTTTGTTAGACTTGTTTACCTCGTGGGTAGGGCCCAAGAGCCTGGACCAAGAAGGAAAGCACATGTTTATGCTCTTTGTGTTTCAGGCCATTGTCCTGGTGCCGACTCCACGGTTGAGAATGTGTCCCTGCTTTTGTTTCCTGAGACGTCTCAGAAATTTACCCCCTACCTGGTGTTGCTCCCATTTAGTTACCCTCTTTCCCTCCCCCAGTTTTTTTGGCGTAGTAGCAGTTTCTAGGGTGGCTGGACTGGAGATATGCCCCCCTGCTCTCCCTGGTCCCCCTGTGTGGGCCATTT